ACCAAAATAGTGCAGGACCCTTTTTTTTGTCTGCACCAGAACTGGATTGCATGGGTATTCAAACCCATGTGATCCAATTCTGCACATCGCACCACGTTTTGAGAACCGATATTGGGGTGTTGTTAACTTAACATACACACCCGCATCGGTTCACATGAACGAGGTAAGATCATGATGCGGTGCAGAAATCGAACAGAACTGGTGCAAATTCTGCACTGCATCAGTGTGAACCCGGACTTAACGTAAAACATGTTGTAATTTTTTTTGTCTAACCCCTGTAAATATATACAGTATATATATATATATATATATATATATATTTATTTATTTTTTTTTTATTTTTTTTTTTCTTATAACTTTTGTCTAAGTATAAATCTATGTCCCAAGCATGGTCGAATCCACTTTTTGTTGACTGACTTACTACATCTTAGAGTTGCAACCTCATCCTTTTGAAACCAAACACATATTAATTAGACTGGTTCTGTGGCTTATTAAAGTGGTAATTAAACTGGCATAGTGCCTTATCTGCATTAAATTAGCCTCCGAATCTGTGTAATGATTATGTGTTCGGTCAGGGCTATAGATAATATTTTTTCCTGGGGGGATGGGGGGGTGTTAGCTCTTAGATGGAGATGGTGCCTCTTGCCTTGCTCAGTAGGGTTGGCTAGGGGATATTTTCTGAAAGCAGTGGACCTGCGTGCAAACTCATATGTCTCCTGTCCGTGGAAAAAGAAAGTGCGCACAGGCACATAGATCAGGGGTCAGTAGTAAGTGATGCAAAGGTCAGGTGTCAATAGTAAGTGTGTGGGGGTACATTTTTTAGAATGTTTATGGTTAGGCAGGAATACCACTTTAAGAACAAATGAAAGAAGATACCAACCACATAGGGAGTGCATCGTTTCCAAATGGATCAGCAGACTAATACATTTTCAGTGTGACAAGCATGCCATAATGAGGCATGTATAAGGTGCTTCGTTTGGAGAGTAAGGTTTAGGTGGGTAGGTGAGAGGTGGAATGAGGGGGAGGTGGGTGGGAGTTGCTGTAACCTGAGGGGGTTATGTAGGTGACAGGGAAAGCAGTGATTAGGAATGGGTGGATGGAGGTGCCATACCTGAAAAAGGAAAGGTGAGGAGGCAGTATGGGGGGTGGGTGAGGACATATGGGGGTAGGTGAGGGGATATGAGGGTGTGTAAGGTGGTATGGGGAGAGGTAAGGAGGTATAGGGGGGAAGGTGAGGCGGTATAGGGGGTAGGTGTGGCAGTATGGGAGGGAGGTGAGGCATTGTGGGGGAAAGTTGAGTAGGTATGGGGGCTAAATGAGGCTGTATGGAGGGGAGGTGAGGCAGTATGGGGAGGTGAGGCGGTATGGGGGGTTGGTGAGGCGGTATGGGGGGTTGGTGAGGCAGTATGGGGGGAAGTGAGATAGTATGGGAGGTAGATGAGACATTATATGACATAGGTAGGGTGAAATGAGGGTTAGGTGAGGCAGTATGGGGGGTAGGTGAGGCAGTATTGGGGATAGGTGAGGTGGTAAGGGGGGGAGATGAGGTGGTGAGGGGTAGATGAGGCAGTATGGGGGGTAGGTGAGGCAGTATTGGGGATAGGTGAGGTGGTAAGGGGGGGAGATGAGGTGGTGATGGTGAGGGGTAGATGAGGCAGTATGGGGGGTAGGTGAGGCAGTATTGGGGATAGGTGAGGTGGTATGGGGGGGAGATGAGGTGGTGGTGGTGAGGGGTAGATGAGGCAGTATGGATGGGAGATGAGTCAGTATAGGGGGTAGGTGAGATGGTATGAGGGGTAGGTGAGGCAGTTGGGGGGGAGGTGAGGTGGTGGTAGTGGGTAGTGGGTAGTAGGTGAGGTTGTATGTGGGGGAGGTGAGGCGGTATGGGGGGAGGTGAGGTGGTATAGGGGGGCAGTGTTGAGGGAGGTAAGGAGGTATAGGGGGGAGTTGAGGCAGTATGGGGGGAGTTGAGGTGGTATGGAGGGAAGGTGAGGCGGTATGAGGGGAAGGTGAGGTGGTATGATGGGAAGGTGAGGTGGTATGGGGGGAGGTAAGGCGATATGGGGGGGAGGGGAGGTGGTGGTGGTGGGGGGAGTGAGGTGAGAAGACACTTTTACATGCAGCAGAATATTCATCTCACCTAAGTCTCTCAGTGCCGCTTGTCTGCCTAGAAAGTCTATGTAGAGCCAGCTTCCTACAGTGATGCCCAAGTAGGTCTAGAGGACGTTCCGTCCTTGTCCTCCACCTACTCTTGATGTCAGGGCCTGTGGGTGGGGCAAGCATGTGAGTGACCACCAATCACCAATGTCCTAGCAACCAATCATGTGCTTGCCCCGCCACCATGCCTCGACAATCACTGAAGGAGGAGGGCAAGAATGAAGGAGGGGGAAGTCCTACTAGCGCTGACGGTGGAAGCTGCAGCCTATTTTCTCCACACATCTCATTGCTGTTGCTGAGGCTGAGCAGCATAACATGACATGCGACAGAAGCGAGTAACTGGACATTTGGGCAAGGTGCTCGGGGGGGGGGGTTCAGACCCCCCCTACCCCCCCTTATCTACGTCCCTGTGTTAGGTTTTAAAGGGATAAGGTGGCAACCCTACTACCTCTGCAGGATGTCTATTCTACTCTTTTGGTAAACTTCCTTTTTTTGTGAAAATTCTACCAATAAGAAAATCTTAACTTCTGATGTGTACAACCCCCAGCTGATAACACAGCAATGGTAAACTTGTATTTAGCTGTACCTGCATGCTTCCCGCCTGGTTTGTTCCTCTGTGGCTTTAATTCATCGCCTTTGCTTTCTTCCTGAAGCCTTCACTATATATTGAACCTATTCTTTTATTGTATTCTTTATGTATTGTTTTGTTGACGTGACCCAAACTTGTGCACAGTTAGCAACTTGTCTTGCCAAGACAAGGCAATAAAGGTAAATTTCAAGCAATGAAGGAAATGCAGAACTTTTATAAGACAAATATCTTTCTTTACTTAGTGTGTGCCTTTGGGCTTTATAAAATCTAATAATAAGACAGTGTCTACAACTCCTCTAACGGCCTAATCCCTTGGCTTTTCCCCGGTGTGAATTTTCATAAAGCAGTCTCTTTTTACAATGTGTGAGTTGTGTTAAGAATGTATCAGGATTATTAGCCCGTCGTTCAGTGTCCTTTCACATATTATTACTAGTCTGCTGCTCATTGAAGACCTCAGCTCTTTTACATTAAGTGCGGTCTATCTCAGTGCTTGATGTTTATTCATTTTCATTCTTATTCATTTACAGTTTCTGTTTCTCATTATAGTCCCTTAAAGGGACATTTCACCTGAAGTCCAATATATACCAACTCAGCATAAGCCTTTTCCTTCTTATAAGGCTACACAGAGCTTTTGATAATCTACCTAACCACTACTGTATCAATACTGGACACTTTTATCCCCTTCCTGCCCAGGCAAATTTTCAGCTTTCACACTTTGAAGGACAATTACTCAGTCATGCAACACTGTACCCAATCAAATTTATCATTTTTTGAGACAGATAGAGATTTATTTTGGTGGTGTTTAACCACTTCCAGTCCGGACACTTTTACCCCCTTCCTGTCCAGGCCAAATTTCAGCTTTCAGCGCTATCACACTTTGAATGACAACTGCGCGGTCATGCAACACTGTACTCATATGAATTTTTTAGCATTTTTTTGAGACAGATAAAGCTTTATTTAGGTGGTATTTATTCACCACTGGGATATTTATTTTTTTTGCTATGTAAATTAAAAAGTCCAAAAATTTTGAAAAAAAAAAGTGTTTTTCTTATACAATTTTACAAATAAATAGTATTTCATCATAAATCTTGGCCACAATTTTTTTCCGTTATCTTTTTAGTAAAAAAAAAAAACAAAAAAAAAAACCCAAATTAGTTTATAACCAAAATTATAATTTTTAAACTTTTTTTTTTTTTCTTTTTTTTATATTCTTATTTATGTTTTTTTTTTAACATACTGTCACCCTAGCAGTACAGTGTCACCATGGTGACACTGTACTACTTGTGGGGGGTGAAGAAGATTTTTTTTTTTTAACACTGATTGCTTTTACACCCATAAAGGATGTAAAAACAATCATTCCTCCTTCTCTCTAGCTGCATTCTTGCAGCGATTGAGAACTACTGAGTGAGCTGTGATTGGTCACAGCTTGTCACATGGTACAAGGCTGTTGTGAATAGCCTTGTACCATGTGACCTCTGTGATCATTCACAGATTTCACACGTAGTAAGCAATGATGTCAGAAGTGACATCTTGCTTACTACTCTGCATGTGATCACTGATTGGCCAATCAGTGATCACATGATCGGGACCTCGCACAGAGGTCCCGTCCGACGATTGGTGTTCCACTGTGTCCGGAGGACACAGCGGGCACCGGATCGCGGTTCTGTGCGCTCCCGGGGAGCGCGCAAAAGCAGGGTGCTGGGAGGCTGTTTATAAATGGCCACCCAACCCTGCACTGCCACCGTCCGGCCGTTTATATACAATGGCCGGATGGGAGGTGGTTAATCATCACTGTTTTTTTTTTTTTGCAATATGCAAAAAACACCAAAAATTAAAAAAAAAAACGTTTTTTAATTTTTGTTAAAAATGTTGCAAATAAGTAATTGTTCTTCATAAATTTATACTGCTATGTTTCTTTGGTAAAAATAGTCCAAGTCAGTGATTAGTCTGTGTGAAAGTTATAGAATCTACAAGGTCAATTCTTGAGGCCCTAACATGCCAGGAGAGTAGAAATACCCCCCAATTGGCCCCTTTTTGGAAAGTAGACAGTCAAAGGTATTTAGCATGAGGCATTGTGAGTTTTTTGACGTTGTCATTTTTTCCTAAACATCTTTGGAAAATGAAGATGTTGCACAAAATTGTCATATTCATAAGTTATTTCTCACACACGGCATAGGTATACTTGCAATTAAACTCTAAAACACATCTAATTTCTGGACAGCCTATCACATTTTTGAAGGCCCTGGAGCACCAGGACAGTGGGAACACCAACAAAATGACCCGATTTTGGAAAGGAAACACCGCAAAGTATTTCAATGAGGCATAATAAGTCTTTTGAACATGTCCTTTTTTCCACAAGTTTATGGAAAAAGAAAGAAATTCTTTTTTTTTTTTAACAAAGTTGTCAATTTATAAGATATTTCTAACACACAGCATGTATATACCAATAAATACACCCCAAAATACATTCTGCTACTCCTCCTTTGTAAGGAAATACCACAAGTATGAGACTTTTTCACAGACTGGCCACATAGAGAGACCCAACATCAAAGGAGCACCTTCAGTCATTCTAGGGGCATAAATTACACATCTAATTTAATGACAACCTATCACATTTTTTAAAGATCCTGGAGCATCAGGACAGTGGAAACACCCACAAAATGAGCCCATTTTGGAAAGCAAACACCCCAATGTATTTTCTTGGAGGCATAATGCGTCTTTTGAATGTACCATTTTTTTTCCACAAGCGCTTTGAAAAAGTAGAAAAAAAAAAAACAAAAATGTTTTTTTTTTTTACACAAAGTTGTCAATTTATAAGATATTTCTTACTCACAGCATGTACATACCAAGAATTACACCCCAAAATGCATTCTGCTACTCCTCCTGAGTATGGCGATACCACAAGTGTGAGACTTTTCCACAGCCTGGCAGGCTGTTAGAAATATGGGCTAATATTTTAGCGATGGCTGATAACAGGTAGACTGCTTATGGTGGCTGGGTGATGGGTAGACTGCTAATGGGAGGCTGTGTGACTAGTACACTGCTGATGGACTGCTGTGTGACAGGTACACTGCTGATTATGGGTGTAACAGGTACTCTGCTGATAGGCAGCTGTGTGATGGATACACTGCTGATAGATGATGTGCAACAGGTATACTGCTGATGGGCACTGATGTGTGATATGTGACAAGTACACTGCTGATGGGCACTGGTGGGATACAGGTAGACTGCTGATGGGCACTGATGGGTGACAGGTACACTGATAATGCTGCTGATGAGCATTGATGAGTGACAGAAACACTGCTGATGGATGACATGTGCACTGATATGCACTGATGGTCGACAGGTAGACTACTGATGGCCGACAGGTACACGGATGTTGGGCAGATGGGCGATGTAAAATACACTCTTTATTGTGGGTGTTGTGCACAGTACAAGACAGTTGTCAGATTGGTAACTCAAAGGATCCCTGCACTCCACTCTCCTCACACAGGATCTGTGTGTTATTTACACTTGTGATCGGCTGTGATTGGACACAGCTAATCAATTAGGGAAAAAGAAAAAGAAATTCTTTTTTTTTTTAACAAAGTTGTCAATTTATAAGATATTTCTAACACATAGCATGTACATACCAATAAATACACCCCAAAATACATTCTGCTACTCCTCCTTTGTAAGGAAATACCACAAGTATGAGACTTTTTCACAGACTGGCCACATAGAGAGACCCAACATCAAAGGAGCACCTTCAGTCATTCTAGGGGCATAAATTACACTAAATAAATTAGTGCATTATAAATGCACTGCCAGTATGGGAGGATGTCACATGATGTCCTTACTCAACAAGAGCGGTCCCACCCAGCCCTCATTCTACACTAAGCTGGGCGGGAACTGGTTAAAGCCTTCCAACCCCGGAATCCTTTTAACTGGGTTATTACACCTGGGTGATGGGAAGGTCTGACTGATCAAGTGACCACCGTGATTGGCTATCACAGTTGGCACATCATCAGGAGATGCTCCAGACGACTCCCATTCATTACTAGAAGCTGGGAGCTGTCTTTGACAGCGAGGTAGCTGTGCTTGGAGCAAGCAGTGAGCACGCTCTAAGCACGGAATCTTCTGCTGCCCATTGACGCATATATGCAGCGAGTGGGCAATAAAGTCCAGGCTCTTTTACCACTGCAATATATGCATTATGTGGGCAACAAGAGGGTAAAGGGGACCACAATATAAAACTGCCAATAATATGTAACAGGTGAAATAAACAGGTATATCCACTTCCAGACCACCTGCCTGCAATGTACTGAGGACCAGTGGCCCGTGCAGGCAAAGCAACGTACTGGCATGTCGCTGCCTGTTTCCAGGTTTCAGGCCCACCCGCCCTCCTACTCCCACTATGATTGTACTCAGCAGGAGTCTGCCAGCAGATCCCAGCCAATGATTCATGGCAGGGACCAGGTGATCAGCTGTGTAAAATCACAGCCCAGATCCCTGTGTGACAATCAACACAGGGCTCTGTACAGATTTAACAATCTCTCTGTTTCTCACCCCTGCAAAGCAGTGATAAGAAACAAAGAGATCTATTAATAAAAGCAACACACAGTACAAACATTAACACTTGTGAAATGAGGTTCACATTGTCATACATTCCACCTAATGCATACGCAGTATGACAATGCAAAATCTCACAGTGTAGGTGCGAGCTTACCCTGAAGACAATGATGACGTTGCCTTCCCAGGAGGCATCTGTGCGGACAGGGCTACGTCACCACTGTCTTTAGGAAAACTAGGAAGTGGAAACCAAAAAAGGTAAGTAAAAAAAAAAAATTATTATTTAAGAAAGCAGCAATTGCCAATTTAAATCAGCATGCAGAGATGCACACTGGTATGAATTTTAGGGAATGGAGGCAAAAGGTCAGTTTTAAAGAGAAAGAGAAGTCTGCAGGCTATATAAAAAAAAGGCAGACAGAGGGCAAAGGACAAATTCACCAGTATTGTCTCTAACCTCCCTGCAGTTGACTTTTCCCCTCATTACTGACTTATCATGCCTTATTCTGCACAGTGTGGGGGTGGCCAATGGCAGGGCCCTTCAGCATGGCTTTGCTTCCTCTTGTGAGAGCCACCAGCAAGGAGAACATCAGGAGCAGCACACTAGTGGCATCACCAAACTAACTCCAAATCTCTGTAGACTAGCAGTCAGAGGTAGCAGGGCCTTATTTCTCATAGTGCAGACATACAGGTTGCAGGCACAGGAGAGCCTGGACACCCACAAATAGCTATTTGCCAGACAAATTCCAGACAAAAGGTAAATTTTTTTTAAGGGTGCTGCTTACACAGAATTGGCACTTATATATGTTTTCTATACCATAGCAAATCTTCACTTTGTGAGTGTAAGTCCACTTTAATAGTTTTTTGTTTATTTTTCAACTTTTCAACTGTTAATATAAGTATTGACCTCAGTAAGAGTGGATATTGTTTTTTTTTCCCCCTTCTGTTTAAAAGCACAGTGCATGCTACAAAAAAAAAAAAAAAATATATAGTATATATATATATACTGTATATGTATATGAAGCTGCACTAATACAAATTACAATAAATGATCAAAAATAAAAAAAAGTGTATAACAAATAGCAGCTGAACACAAAAACCCTGATACTAGGCAATAACCAATCTATACATAAGAGTCCAGTGCTTAAACACCTGTCCTTGGATTTCCTTTGTTTCATCACAGCCTCTGGGACTTTTTCTTTATTTTTGGATGGACTATTTTTTGACACATTTTTTTTTACTGTTTTCTTACAATTATCTGTCACATTTTTAAGCAATGCACTCTTATGTATATACTGTGCATACTACAGCCTGCATTTTGTGCCCACTCATAAATTTCAACCTGTGACATGGATTTTGTATCCTACAGGGAGTTTTCTCTTCTTACTTCACCAGAGAGAACTCTGATTGGAAGGGAACCAATCATGACAGGTCATGTGACTGGGCTCTCCTCCTGAAGCCATTGGAGCATAATTCACATTTATAAAGCACACCACCATACGCCCCCTACTCCTGCTGTTATTATGGACCCTGTGGGGTTGATTTACTAAGAACAAATAGACTGTGCACTTTTGCAAGTTCAGTTGCTCCAGAGACTCTACAAAGAACACCCAATCTCATGCAAGGGAAATAAAAAACAGCATTTTTTGCATGCACATAATTTGGATGATCGAAGTCAGGAGAACTCCTGCTTATTTACTAATCTCTGGAGCAAATGAACTTGCAAAAGTGCACAGTGTGTTTTTAGTAAATCACCCTCTTTGTGTCTACCTATCTAATGTATATTTATAGGTTGTAATTAGGAGAAATTAAAAAAACATAGATTTCTGATCATTTCACCACAGCTTACTCACACAATTAGTGCAAACACAGATATATAACCCCCAAAAAATGTTTGTGAAAGTCTCCAGAGAACAAGTACACCATATAACTCTGCTTATTACATGAAATACACAACTTTACCCAACTTTACCTTTCAGATTTGAAAAAAAAATATTGTCAGTGTTAAGATTAGTGCAAAAATTACTTGTGAGCTAATATGGTGAAAATCAAAAAATCTACTACCAAATATATATATATAAAAATAAATAATATATATGTGAAAAAACACCTTTATTGACATAGCCAGTAATCCCACTCACATGTTTCACAAATAAAAAGTGCATTATCAAATTTTGTATGTGCCCAGCACAAATCTCGTACTCGCCGTGACAAGCCGATTACGCGTGATGAAGTCAGAGCCCCTCCCCTACGCGTTACGCCACCAATCACGTGGCTTCATCAGGGGGAATTAATTCCCCCCATCAATTCCCCCTGATGAAGCCACGTGATTGGTGGCGTAAAACGTAACTTTTTGGTACACTAATTTTTATATAATTTTTAGTACATCATTTATTTAGTAAGGGAGCGCTGCACTATGGTTTGAATATTTAGTATTGTCAGTGTTAACATGCACAAAGTAAAATATTTTGTGAGTAACTGGTTATCATTGCAGAGAGTTAAAAATAATTTGAGTTTATGCACATGAGAATTGGTGTGATGTGATGCTTTCATTAGACTTCCATAAAATATGGCCCACACAACAATCCACACAAATGTCATCTAGAGTGCACAGTAGACCTGGGTGGTTAATGTTTGTATTTTAATTAGTTAATAATATTTAAGAGTCCCCATTTCCTACATAGTAAGTTGGACATGTGTGAACCTGAGTCTCTTCAATGATATTAAACTA